TATATGCTTTTAGCTTCTTTCATTTTGGTTCGCTGACAGATCCTCTCGCCTCCATTCCCGCCGAGGCCTGGTTTTACTACGAGTCTGGCACTGAAGTCTGAAGCAGCCACATTTGGGCGGTTTTCTACTCAAATGAGAGAATTCATCAAATGGTAAATTTATATTTGTTTTTGAAAGCATTGAGTGTGGCATTTCGCTGTTTCCATGCTTTGAAACGGTAATAGTGGGACTGTTAAACATTAGGCGCTAACAATTTCGTTTTTGTGACTCATAACACCGTGTTGAAGTGTCTTGTCTCGCCTGCTGCAAACGAGCAGACAGAGCTAGCATACCGCGGAACATTTACCAGTCATTTTATTGACGTTGTGTGGACTGCGTAATCTGTACGTTGCTTGTTCTCAGCGCTGAATATCATGTTGTCATATCTGGGTCAAGACACAAACGCGCTACCATCAAGTTTTTCTTATGACAATTACGTTTATGCAAGCATCGTGAAAGTGAGTTAAAGGTACGTTAAACTGTAAATCCGTCAGTCTTTCAATTTCCTTCAGTGCCCACTGGCAGAGCATGCAGGTACTTTAGCTTGAAACCAGTCTTTATCAATTCATATGGCATGCTATTTTGGGTTAAATAATGTCCTAAATATTTCTAGATATACAAAGTTAAGTTTTAATGGAGAAATATGTCTGAATCTATCTGTATTTTCTTTTCACATTATAAATAATAAATTAATAGTAAGATAAATTCTTAACACGTGTTAATTTATTCTAATGTAGTACACTGTTCATTTTAAGATGCCTTATTACTCCTATTACTCACTTAAATTGTTTCAGGCCTCAATGTGAATATTGCACAATGTTTCATTTAATTGACCCTAGAATGATGTAAAAAAAAAAAAAAATAATAAGTTTACGATTTGACACCCGTATTATAGACAGTTCTCAGCACACTCAAAATTAGGGGTAATCACAGTAATAAATTACTGAAATGAGTGTTTTTGTCCTTTTTCAATAGAATTGGCCCAGACTTCTGCAGTGTCAAGTGAAGGAAGCTCCTCTCATAAGATTGCAAACTGTGAGTCTGATGACACTGAGTGTGAGTGATGGAAGCCCTTCAAGAAAGGAGCAGAATGCTGAAGATGACGCCAGAATTGTGAGTCTGTGTCATTTATATGTTATTCTATGTACAGTACAAATTTAAAACGCAAAAAAATGAATATGAAAAATTAAAGTTGAACTGGGCAGGCACACAATATCAGCTTATGTTCACACCTGGAATTTACTAATTATTAATTTAAGATTTTTTATCAAATTGCAAATATTAGATCTCTTTATGAAGTTTATGAAGTATCAAAGTGGTAGTTGTGTGGACTGTCATTCAAGGGACAGAAATCTTATATTCTAATATCTTCAATTGTGTTTCAAAGATAACAAAAGTCTTGGCTGAGTAAACGATGAAATTTTCATTTTCAAATTTTTGAACTAACCCTGTAATAAAATAATGTGGCCATATGTGTCACCCAAGATGTGTGCTAATGCCAGGTGTGAACAGAAGCACTGTGTGACTACACAATCAACTTAGCAGTATGGTTCCTGAGAGAGATATTGTTGTCATTAATTGTTTTTTCTTTTAGTGATATTGCATCAATTGGTCTCCTACTTCATTTGATTCCACCATCAACACAAGGCTGCAAGGGACCTGGAAACATGTCCTCCTATCAAGCTGAAAAATATCTTCAAAAAGGTACATTTGGACATTTCTGTCTCTACCTATTGTCTGCCTCAAAATATTGCCAGATGGGTTGTATATGAAAGACTAATGTAAATAAAATCAGTTGGAGAGCTGACCTTGAGTGTTATTCTTGTCTTTGATCTGCAGGCACTAACAAGAAGAACAGCTTGATTGCATAGAAGAGACCACGCAGCCATACCTGCTCGCTGATGGGACAACGAGGAACATCATTCATGGATGCTACACTACTGTCAAATCTACCTGTCATATTTGTTCATGTCTAGGTAAATTTGATGATCTTGTGTTTTATTAACTATTTTATGTTTCTTAACTTAATGAATGTGACTGACTAATTAACCTCTACACATCTGATATATGTTTTAAAGTTGCCACTTTGCCCATTTGTTAAATAAACTTTGAAATTTATACATCTGTCTGAAGACTCTTGATTTTATGTCTAATCTTGTACATTAACACCATACAATAGCATTTTTATGTTTGCACTGAAAAGAATACTTTATTAATAACACTTAAAGGATTAAAACAACACCAGGGGTGTTAAATACCCCATAGTGTAAAATTTGAACAACAATAGCAAGTGTAACACTTTACACTCGGAGTGTAATTTTTCTACACTGTAAGGTGCTATTTTAACACTAAAAATTCAACACTATGAACAGTGTACTTTTAACACTACACAGATTGGGACCATATATGATCTTTAGTAGTGTTAAAATCGACACTTTAAGTGTTAAATTGACACTGCGTTTTTTACTGTGTACCTGTACCAAGAACAAATGTGGACTTCTCTTGCTCTACTTCTTTTCACTCTAGTGGTAACGCCAAGCAAAGCCAGTTAAATGGGAAGGTCACTACACTCCCACCAAATCATGTTATGATAAACAAAGAAAACAAATCATACACGATTTCAAACTTCAATGACCTTTTTCAACACAAAACACATAAATCATACAAAAAAATATTTTAACCATATATTAAACCTATTGTCTGATGCAAGAGATTTACCTGCATCAATGAATCACTCTCAAGTAGAACCACTCATTTTTGAATTGGTTGCTCAGTGATTGAAGGTTTAGAGTGATGCCCTAATATAGTTTTCGTTCTCCTGTTTGATCTGTAACTTGTCGGACTAAGCCATTGCTCCCTTGAATGACCTTGACAACCCAACCTAACTGCCACTGGTTCCTTGGCAGCATGTCGTCTTTGATGATGACTTTAAGATTATGTCAGGGTACATGCCAGTTCTGTCGTTTTGAGATATTCAGGAGATACTCTCTTTTCCAACAACTCCAGACCAGAACTGTTCAATTAAGCATTGGACTCTGCGCCACCTTTTGTAACGTCTTCCTTCAGAAATTTCCCAAGAGTTACATATGTAGGTGTTATGGTTGATTCCTTTTCCTACATCTCTTTTTCAATCCAGTTTACCAGAGCCACGGAGTATCACTGTGAACCTCAACATGTTTAAAATGTTTAAATATTGAAAATACTTAAAAGAAATGAGTAATAAACAATAATCTTTTCTAAAACATGTAAAATCTAGACCATCTTATGAGCCATTTCAGTACAGTTAAAGGGATAGTACAGTGCAAAATGAAAATTCAGCCATCATTTAATCGCACCACATCTGACTTTCCATTATATGGATTAAAAAAACAACAACAACAACACTGAGACATTCTGCAAAAAAAAAAAAATCTCAAAGAAAGAATGTCATACAGGTTTGGAACGACATGAGGGTGAGTAATGATGGCCCAATTTTCATTGTTTTGGGTGAATGATCCATTTAATCAGTTAAGCAAAGTTAACATTCAGATTTGCAAGTAAAATAGTGTTGTTTTTCATATTATAACATATAATACCATTTAAATGTTATTTTCTAAAAGCATAGGATATGATAGGATATAGTTGGGAGGTTATGACCTGAACCAGAATCATCATTTAATTTTTGTTGTTCTTTAAGGCTGGTTTGGAATACACTACACAACTTTTAAAGTTGAAAACAGATTTTAAAACATTAGGCATCACTTACCAACTTTGTAAATAGCTGCCAAGGAAAACTGCCATTATACACTAAACGACCGAGGATCATACACTACAAGACTTCAAGTTGTTCCAATCACAACAAACTTGCTAGGAGATGCGTGACAAATGAAAATTACATTCGTTCTAAAATCGGCTCAAAATATCAGGGGTGTGGACTCGAGTCACACGACTCCAGACTTGACTCGGACTGGAGTCCCAAATTTGATGACTTGCGACTCGACTCGACATAATTAAAGAAGACTTGAGACTCTGACAGCAATGACTCAAGACTTGATTTGGACTTGAGCCCTGTGACTCGGAAAGACTTTATGATCAGAAGTCGTTATAGACGCGTCCCTGCAGCGTTGCGCTTGACTGGCAATAAGCCAGAGACTGTGTGTTTAGGGAGCGCTGGATATATAGGCTAGTATAAATTAATGGAGTAATAACACAAATTACGACAAAAGAACCGAGATAAAAAAAAATAAAAAAAACATGATTCGTCTATAGCGATCTCCGCTCATGAAAAGCGCTGCCCTATGGAAAGCCATATGGGTCATAATTCGCGTGCTTTTCACTGCCGTATCAATATTAAAACGCCGTTTTCATAACGTCGCCAGGCGTTAAATAAGCGCCGTTAGGCGATAAGTTAATGGCAGACGCCACCACGCGTTAAAATAACGCCACACGCCGACCGACGTTAAGTTAACACCACACGCCACTTAAGATGCAGATTTATTTGCTCATCTACATGGACACACCTCTCATGGCTACAAGGACTCTACGGCAAGTCGGAGCATCCAGTTTGCAAGAGCGCGAAGATGGCAAGTACAGCCCTTACAATTCTAGATGTAGGGGGAAAAATGCCCCTGAATGAGCTTTTGTCTCATAAAGTTATCACACGAGTCATGAATGAGTGCAAATTTGGAAATTATTTTATACAACAGTTAGATAAATAAGAAATTGTATGGTAAGTCTTGCAATATATTGCAAAATATATTTATAATCAGTCGTGAAAATGGACAAAATTCACTGGGGGACCCTAGCTTGGAATCGGGTGGGGGGGAATAATGGTAATAAAAGGTAAAATAATAAATAAATATATATTATTTCAAACCTTATGCATTTATTGCTTTAAGATATTTTGAAGAATGCTGGTAACCAGGGTCGGCGCCAGAGCGCACAAAGTGCACAAAGGCTGCTTTGAAAAAAAAAATGTTTCTGAAAGTAATTTTCAGATGCAACGGGGAAAAAATGGCTAAAAAAATTTATTTACAAAAAAAATTGTAAATAAAATAAAAATATTTTATTTACAAGTTTCACAAACATGAAACTTGTAAATAAAATAATCTGATGTATAGCCTATGTACAATTTAATAACATATAGCCTAGTTTGATATAATGAATTGGGTGTTCGTCAAAGATTGCATGCGGTCGGAGATTCCCGTGTTTACAGCTCCGTAAAATAACCTACTGGGAGCTCTGTAGTTTTGCTGTATAGGCCTATAGATACTTTGAATTTTAAAGTTGAGGACTTGCAACTCGACTTGGACTTGCCTGTCTTGACTCGGGACTTGACTTGGGACTTGTCTGTCTTGACTCGGGACTTGACTCGAGACTTGAATGCAAAGACTCGAGACTTAATTGACTTAATTGTCTAATTGACTTGCAAAACAATGACTTGGTCCCACCTCTGCAAAATATCAAACATGTTTGCTATCCTCTGACTAAATGGAATCAGAAACTGAAACAAAAAAAAATCAGAGTCTGTAAGTAAATCTGTCAGCTCAAATTTGCAGACTGGCTCTGACTTTTGGCAACTAGCACTGACTTGTTCAAACTGTCGGGGGAAAATCGAAAGTCGTGTAGTGTATTCCAGACTTTATGCAATAATCCATTCATATGATCAGGGCTGGATTGGTAATCGGGCATACCGGGCATTTTCCCGGTGGGCCGACGCACTTAAGGGGCCGACAGAATGTTTTTGTTTTTTTTTGTTGCCAAGGACCATCACGCAGGGACAGTGAGCAGCCAGTGGGCCATTGGATTGTCTCCTGTATTGACAGCGTAAACCATCCAATCACAATGTGCTATAGACGGAGTGATGAAGTATTTTGCTCCACCTATATGTGACCATGGACCACAAAACCAGTCATAAGGGTCAATTTTTCGAAATTGAGATTTATACATAATCTGAAAGCTGAATAAATACGCTTTCCATTGATGTATAGTTTGTTAGAATAGGACAATATTTGGCCGAGATACAACTATATTGGGTTAAATCTTATTATTAAATCTGGAATCTGAGGGTGCAAAAAAAATCTAAATATTGAGAAAATCGCCTTTGAAGTTGTCCAAATGAAGTTCTTAGCAATGCATATTACT